CCAAGTAGCTGGAATTACAGGCGTGCGCTAACACCCCTGGCTGATTTTTTTGTTTTTTTATTTATTGTAGAGATGAGATCTCACTGCCCAGGCGGGTCTCGAATCCGCGGGCTCAGGCAATCCACTCACCTCAGCCTCCCAAAGGCGCGGGATTACAGGCTGAGCCACCGAGCCCGGCTAAAGTTTTACTTTCTAATCTGTATGCCTTTTTTTTTTTTTTTTTCTTGCCCTATTCCACCAACTTGGACTTCCAGTATGATATTGAATTTGAATGGTGAGAACAGATATTTGCCTTATTCCCAATCTTAGGGCAAGAGCATTCAGTCTTTCATCATTAATTATGATATAATCTGTAGGCTTTTGTGTAGATGCTTTTTATCAGGTTAAGGAAATTCCCTCTTCCTAGTTAGGGTTTTTTTTTTCTCATCATGAATAGGTATTAAATTTTGTCAGATGCTTTTTGTGCATTTATTGAGATCATATGGTTTTTCTTCTTTAGTCTTTTGATGTGGCAGATTTCAATGTTTGATTTATTTAATGTTGAACCGGTCTTGTATTCATGAAATAATCCATACTTGGACATATTATTATTTTTATATATTGCTATATTTACGTTTATTTTAAAAATAGTAATTAAAATAGGTGTTACTACTTACGACTACCAAAATCCTGAAATGCCTTTAAAAATCTTGGCCCATTGGTTTGTTTATTAATTTAGTCAACAAATACCTGACAGTTGATCTGTGCCAGGCATTATTCTAATGCTAGGGATTAGAACATTGAGTTCTTGCACTTAAACTATATTCCTTCTTAGAATGTAATATAGTATCAGGTAGTGATAGTGCTGTTAACAATAAAGCAGTGTAAGGGAGTGGGGAATAATGAAGGGAGGGGCTGAAGCTATTTTAACTGTATTGTTCACAGAAGGACTCTGCTGAGGTGAAGTGAGGGAGCCAGCCATCTTGTTTGTAGAATATTGTTCACTGAGTCAGAGACATTTTTGGTGTGTTTCAAGAACAGCACAGAGGCCAAGGTTCTGGAGCATAGTAACCCATGGAAAGTCTTGTAGAAGGTGAAGTCGACAGGGACCAGATAATTCAGGATTTTGTAGGCTATGGTAAGGACAACTTTGGTTTTTATTCTAATTATAGCGGCAACCACTCATTTAATCACCAAGTCTTTATCAAGCATCTGCTATGTGTCACATACACTTTTTCACGTTGGGGATGCATGAGTTAACAAAACAGGCAACAATCCAAACCTTCTATAGAACTTCAGAGTGTTAGTGATATGTGTCGTTTATGTGTTATGGAGGTGATCAGAGTGGTAGTTTAGAATATTCAGTTGGGAAACTTTGTTATATACAATTATTGTATAGTAAAATGATTTCAAATATTTGAATAATTAAAATTGGAATAAATTTCCCTTTATGCTAAAACTATACTTGAACATAATTTAACCTTTTTTATTTACAGGAGTCATATATATTTTTATGAGTTTCTTTTGGTTGCAAAGTAGAGAGACTTTTTTAGGCTAGGATTGTTTTATAAGAATGTACTTGGAAATGGAATACAAAAGAACTTCATGGAAATCCTAAAATAGGAGTTATGGTATGTCTGGGCTTTTCAGAGGCTAGAGCTTGACAGCCTTTATGTCCAAAGTGTATTAGTTATTACTGTATAATAAATTACCCCAAGATTCAGTGGCTTAAAACATTTATTATTTCATAACTTCTGTGAGTCAGGAATTTAGGCTTGGCTTAGCTGGGGCTTCTAGCTCAAGGTCTCTCACAAGGCTGTACTCAAGAACTGTTTTAGCTATTTGTGGTTGTTTATGATTTCATATGAATTTCTGTATTGTTTTCAGTTCTGAGAAGAGCGCTGCTAGTAATTTAATAGGTATTGCATTAAATCTGTAGATTGCCTTGGGTAGGATGATAGATACCTTTAAAAAAAATTTTTTTTTTTTTACTTCTGGCCATTTTTCTTTTTTTTTCTTCTTAATTTTTATTTTAAAATTGTGGGGTACAATTCAGGGTTAGGTATACCAATAAATATTCATTGTGCAGGTACCCTTGTTGATGAGGTGTGCCCCCCCCTTCCCCAGGCAGATATCAATTACTGTCAATCCTACCTCCCCACCCCTCCTGCAGTTTCCCACTGTTGTGGTAGACATCTTAACAATGTTGATTCTTCCAATCCATGAGCATGGAATATTTTTCCATTTGCTTGTGTCATGTTCAATTTCTTTGAGCAATGTTTTGTAGTTTTCATTGTAAAGGTTTTTGACTTCTCTGGTTAGGAAGATGCTGAGGTATTACATTTATTTTATTTTATTTTTTGTGGCTATTGTGAATGGGCTTGTGCTTTTTATTTGGTTCTCTGTTTGTTGGTGGTGTATAAGAATGCCACTATCTTTTGCACGTTGATTTTGTACCCTGAGACTTTGCCAAAGTCCTTTATCAGTGCAAGGCTTTTGATAGGTTCTCTTGAAGCGAAGAGGGATAGCTTGACTTCCTCTTTCTCTAATATCCTTTTCTTATCTGATTGCTCTAGCTAGGACTTCCAGCACTATGTTGAACAAGAGGGGTGAAAGTGGACAGCCTTGTCTTGTTCTGGTTTTCAGGGGAAATGCTTCTAATTTTTGTCCATTAAGTAATATGTTGGCCATGGGTTTCTTGTAGATGGCTCTTACTATTTTGAGCTATTCCCTCTGTAACTAGATGTTCTAGGGTTTACATCAAAAAGGGATGCTTGATTTTATTGAAAGCTTTTTCTGCATCTAATGATATAATCATGTGATTTCTATTTTTACATCTGTTGATGTATTTTATTACATGTATGGTCTTGCAAATGTTGAATCATTCCTGCATCCCAGGAATGAAGCCTACTTGGTCATGGTAGATGATTTTTGAGATATGTTGCTGGAACCGATTTGCTAGAATCTTGTTAAGTATTTTTGCATCTATATTCATCAGGGATATTGGCCTGTAGTTCTCTTTCTTTGTCGAATCTTTCCCTGGTTTGGGTATCAGTGTGATGTTAGCTTCATAAAATGATCTGGGGAGAGTTCTCTCTTTCTCCATTGCTTGGAATACTTTCAATAGGATTGGTATCAGCTCCTCTTTGTACATTTTGTAGAACTCCACTGGAAAGCCGTCTGGTCCAGGAACTTTTTTTGTGGGTAGTTTTCTTATGACAGAGTCTATTTCTTGGGTTGTTATTAGTCTATTTAATGTCTCAATTTCTTCTTGTTTCAACCTGAGGAGGTTGTGTGATGTCAGAAAGTCCTCCATTTCATTTAGGTTATCAAGTTTGTTTCTATACAGGTATGCATAATAATCTCTGATAATTTTTGTATTTCTTCAGGATCCATTGTGATTTGATCTCTTGCATTTCTGATTGGGTTTGGGGGGGGCTTTTTTTTTTTTCTTTTTGTTGGTCAATCTGGCTAAGAGTCCATCGATCTTGTTTATCCTTTCAAAGAACCAGCTTTTTGTTTCATTGATTTATTTTCTTCTATGTCCTGTATTTGGACATTTACTTTGGTGATCTGGATTCTTCTGATAAAGTTAGGTTTTTGGGGGTCTTGTCTTTCCAGCTCCTGTAGGTGATTTGTTAGACTTTTAACATGTGATCTTTGCATTTTCTTGATATGTGTTCATAAAGAAATGAATTTCCCTCTCAGTACTGATTTCATGATATTCCAGAGATTTTGGTAAGATGTGTCTTTATTTTCATTTGTTTCCAGAAATCTTTTAATTTCTGCTTTGCTATCTGTGTTGACCCAGGAGTTGTTTAGCATCATGCTGTTTAGTGGAGTATTACAGTTTTAATGTCATTTTTTCCTTTCTTAAAATCTGCATACATTTTTTTGACACCCTCACTATTTGTGGTATGATTTTGTGTCTGTGTTTTATTTTTATGGTACTTTCTATATATATTCTGTTCTGTTCTGCTTTCTTTTTTCGTATTGTTTTTGAAATCTCTTCATATTGATACTCTAAGTCATTCCTTTTTAGCGGCAATATAGTATTCCATCATGTCTTATCCATTCTGTCATTGTCAGACACCTAGATTGTTTGGCTGTTACAGACTTTGATTTTTTTGTGCCTGTGTCAAATCGCAAAACGAATCCTAATAGATGTGAGAAATCTTGTTTATCCACATCCTGATAATAAGTGATATTTTCAGATTTAAAATATTTTTGTGAATTTGTTGTTTGGAAAACTGGGCTCTTGCTTTGTTACTATATATTCCCCTCACGATTAGTATGTTTAATGACCTTGGATGTCATCATCTGTTCAGTGCCTGACTGCTGCATCCTTTGCTCATTTGCAGTTCTTTTAGTTCTGTCTATATTCTGGATACTAACATTTGTATGTTACATATGTTGCAGATGTTTTCTCCTAGTCTGCAGAGACAAGCTCTTGTTGTATTGCCCAGCCTGATCTCGAACTCCCTGGCCCAGGCATTCCTCCTGTCTTGGCCTCCCATAATGCTGGAATCACAGGCACGAGCCATCATGTCCAACCTATTTAGTATATTTTAGTTCTTGTTGAGGTTGTAAAGATTAAATTCAGAAACGAAAGAGTAATTTATTGTACTATATAAAGATAAGTAGCTGTTAATTTTTGGCTGAAAGTATCAGGTTGAGTCATATTTTCCAGTATGACTACCAGATTCTAGGTTGGAATTTTTTTTATTTTGACTCTCACCATTGTCAAAACATGGAATTCTAAGATGGAATTACATTCACATATATTGCACTTATTGTATCAGGTCGTGTGCAGCTTTAATTGGAATTTGGGGTATTAGGCCCACAGTCAGAGTAAAACATAGCTCATACTTTGTTGAAATAATATTGGAAGTTGAAAGATGAATAAGGAGTTTGGTTCATTTCATGTTTTAATCAGAAGCATAAAAAATGTTGCCCTTGGGAAAAAGTATAAGCATAAAACTGTTTTCTAGATATTTGATCATTTATTTCTATATTATTTTAGGTTTCCAGTAATTATCTACAGGAATCGCCATGACCCCAGCTCTGAGGGAAGCAACAACAAAGGGTATCTGCTTTTCATCTTTGCCAAGTACCATGGAGTCTGACAAGTTGCTATGTATGGAAAATCCAAGAACTGTAGATAAAAAGCTAAAGGGAGACACCTTTTCTCAGATGCTGGGATTTCCAACTCCCGAACCTACTCTTAATTCTAATTTTGTGAATTTAAAACATTTTGGCTCCCCTCAGTCTTTAAAACATTATCAGACAGTTCTTTTAATGAGTTCTAATTCTACATTAAATAAATACAGTGAAAATTATAAACAAAAGAAATTAGGGGAGCCCAACTGCAATAAACTGAGAAACATACTGTGTAATGGCAGCAACATTCAGCTCAGTAAAATCTGTCATTCTCATTCTGAAGAGTTCATCAAAAAGGAACCGCTGTCAGATACCACAAGCCAGTGCATGAAAGATGTCCACGTTCTTTTGGATTCAAATATAACCAGAGACACTAATATAGATAAAGTACAACTGCCAAACTGTAAATGGTATCAAAAGAATGCACTTTTGGATAAAGTTACTGATGCTGACATTAAAACGACCTTGTTGCACTGTGCTCAAAAGAAATTTGGAACTGGCCACTCAGATGTGCCTGTAAGTTCTTCAGTTGCTGAAGAAGAGGAGGAAGTAAATGCTCGTTTACTTCATTGTGTAAGCAAACAGAAAATTTTACTCAGCCAGGCTAGAAGAACTCAGAAACACTTGCAGATGCTATTGGCAAAGCATGTTGTTAAGCACTATGGTCAACAAATGAAATTTTCTATGAAACATCAACTCCCAAAAATGAAGACCTTTCATGAACCTATAACAATTTTGGGTAACAGTTTACCTAAATGCACTGAAATTAAACCAAAAGTCAACATATTGACTGCAGAAAATAAATTGTGGGATGATACAAAAAATGGCTTTGCACAGTGTACAGCTGCAGAAATCCAAAGATTTGCACTATCTGCTACAGGGTTGTTGTCTCAGGTTGAAGAGGGTCTGGATTCCGATGCAACTGATAGCAGCTCTGATGACGATTTGGATGAATATACCATTAGAAAAAATGTGGCGGTGTAAGTGCAATATTATTATTAGAACTTTTTCTATTCCATAGATAGTAGCAATTATTTTACTTTCAAAATATGGTAAAAGGAAATAGATTTTTCAAGATTTTATTGCCATAATCCTTAAGTTATAGCAGTTTGGTGACTTTTTAAAAATTTTTGTTTGTTGAACTATTGTGTGTCAGTATGCTATTTAAAAATAAATTACTCAGCTGTTATATCTAGGAAAAACCCATTCAGGAATAATAAAAATAATTAGCTGTAAGTAAGTAATTTTTTAATATTCTTAAGTAGAATAGGCTATGGACAAGGCTTAAATCTTTGCTTAAGTGTTGTAGCCAATATGTATAGCTAACTCAAAAAATTAAAGTCTGTGCATAGGGAGCCCTCATTGACTTTGGGAATTTATCAGTTCAGAATATGTGTATGTTGACTTGCTGCCTTTTTTTCTTCAACTATTTATATGCTCATTGTAGTCACAACTTTTTGCTCTGGCCTTTACCAACTCAGTCAAGTTTTTGCTAGGTTAATATAACTAAAACCAAACTGTAATGTCAGCTATAAATATCTATTGTATGCTTATTATGTGCTAGACACTAAAAGCTATGAGCAACAAATTTACAACCTTCACTCTCTTAAGCATTTACTTGAGAGAAGGGTATCTTGATTTTTTTTTTAAAAAGGCAGAGAAAAATAGTTGTAATTATTACACCATTCTAACACTCCATAACAGCTCTGTTCAATAGAAACTTCTGAGATGATGAAAATGTTCTATTTCTATGTTATCCAATAAGCACTGGCTATTGAACACTTCAAATTTGACCAGTGATACTGAGGAACTGAGTTTTTCGTTTTATTTAATTTGGCTAAATTGTAATTGAAATGATCAGATCATAGTGCTTGATCTAGGTTTCAGGGAATCTGTTATTGTCCCAAATTGATGTGAATTACTAAGTGTATTCATGGTATTTTGGGAGAAAGAAGTCCATCACTTTTTCAAAATCTCAAAAATGAGTGAGAATTACTATAGAATTAGAAGCCAAACACATTAATTTTTACTAATTAATATAAGACCAGTATGCTAATTTTTATAGTGAGGAATGAAATATGCCATTCTAGTCTTTTGATGTTCTCATATCACTGCAATTGAAATTTGTTTGAATGTGGGAGCTATGATTGTTACTGGGCACAGATTATTTTTCTGGCTGGCATTGTGCCTAATTATTTCACGTGTGATACCTCATGTAATTTTTTCAACAATCCTGTAAGGTAGTTGTTGTTATCCTTCGGTACAGTCAGGTAACTTGCCCGTTGCCAAAACGCCAAATGAGTGGTGGAGCCAGTATTCTGCCCGAGTGTGACTCTTCAACATGTGCTTGTTCTCTTGTAGCATGCTACTCTCTCAGCATTGTATCCTTGATACATATAGATACAAAAATTATTTTAGGCACATGTGCTCTGAAAGAAGTCCTGAAATTTATCAATTTGTATATTTATAGTACTTTAAAAATACTATAGTATAATAAAATATAGTAGGTAAATTTAGTAAATTATTTACCTTTTTGTTGTTTGGAAGAGGTAATGGACAGGTTTATCTTTTTAAAGCTAGAAACAGAAATTAAAAATTTTTATCTTCTCTATTTTGACCTATAAGGTTATTTTTATTAGTAGTCTCTTATTGATTTCCTATAGATAGTACTTAGTCTTCCTTACAATTTATTATTAAATCATGTTTTGTCCTATGTAGTTAACTAATATATCTATTAGGTTTAACCAACTCCTATTAAGGGTAGAAGCCACATATTATACTTTTTGTTAATTTTTTAAAAATGCCAAGTATATGATTGATTGGTCAAAACATTTTGTTTTAATATTTGTATTTGCTCCTTAAGTTTAGTGAGAGAACACTAAGATTAGACATTTGTATAAAACATACACAAATGGAGAAATTCAAACTACTGAACTGTTTTTGTTGTGTTTTGTTTTTAACAAAAAAGTATACCTCCTATTTCTTTTCTTGCCAATGCTGAGTTTATTGAGATAAATTGAAGTATGGTAGCCTGGAAAAAATTGGTTTGTGGTTTTGAGAAGTTTATTTCTCATACTACCTTTCTTTTTCCTACAATCAACTATAGGGGCTTCTGATATTGTAGGCATACATTTTAGGGAAGTAATTCTAAGAAATGTAATGTCAGTTCTTTAAGATTTGTTTCTAACCTCTTGCATTATTGATCTTTTACTATTATGATGCCTTGGTTGTTAAAGCCCATATCTATATTTCTAGAGGTCAAGCTTAAACTTTGTTCTAAGGTCAAGCTTATCTGAACTACACAAATCAATAACACGAAATTTATGTAATTTTAAAAAATGTTTAATTCACTTTAATTAACTAATTTGACTTGATAATTATTTTGGTTTGTTGGGTGTTTGGTTTTTTTGGTGTATGTTTTTTAATATTTGAAATCTATTCAGCATTTCTTGATTTCATACATCTTCTCATATATCACATTAGATTTTGTTTAGAATATCTTTACTAACACTAATAGAGTTCTTGTGGGAAAGATTTTACCTCAACATTTTATTACTTTTGAAGTTGACTGAATTTTAAGAACAAATAACACAACTTTTTATCTGTGGCATGAGTTTAATAGCAAATTCTATTTAAGTTGGATTATTTAGTTCTGTTTACTGTTGTTAAATTCATTTTTATATTTAAAATATTTATCTCAATAAGTTTGTTTACATTCTTTTAAGTTTATTTTTGTTACTGCTCTATATTTGTGGAAACTTGTATTTCAAATCTGGATGAATATTTTTAGTTTGTAAAGTTCAGAATTAAACATTAAATGGCAGATAAAAAGATGCATTTTGTGTTTCTAAAATTTTAAGTGGGTACTAACACAATTAAAGTTGTATCATCTCCATTGAATATAATGACTTCTCAACTTAAATCATAAAGCCTAGAGTGGCAAAAACCAAAGTTGACTTAAACTTAATTTTAAGCAACTTGAGGCCTAGTGCTACTCTTTCTATTGTTGTTTACCTACAGCCTAGCATTGTCTTCTGTTGAATGGTTTTTTTGGTATTTGTTGAATGAATGAATGAATATTTCTGTATATATGTACAAGGGGAGACCCAAAAAAAACCTAAAATTGTCTTTTTTTTTTTTTTTGGAGGGCAGGCCCCTTGTAATACACTCAGAATTCGTTCCTTGGGAACAAACAGTAAACCAAAGTTTTTATCTGGAAGTTTTGAGAAGGTTGCTTGACTATTTGTGGAGGAAATTTCTCAAGGTATGGTAGAGAAGTGACTGGTTCTTCTCCCATGACAGTACACCTGCCCACAATGCACTGAATGTTCAGTAGTTTTTGACCAAAAACAGCATGACACCTGTGTCTTGCTCTCCCTCTTTGGCTGATCTCGCCCGAGCAGTTATTTTTTGTTTCCTAGTTGAAAAAAGTCTTCAAAGGGAAATGTTTTGCTTATGTGGAAGAGATGAAGCAAAAAGTGGCAGAAGCACTAAAAAACATCACAATTGACAAGTTTAAAAACTATTTTGAGCAATGGAAATAATCTCGATAGGTGTATTGCGTCAAACTTCAGTCGAAGTTTAAACATGTAAGAATAAATACACAATTTTTTCATAAATAAATTCCAGGGTTTTTTTTTTTTTTTTTTGGTACCACCTTGTAGTTGCAAAAATAAAAAAGTTGGAGTTGGTAATCTAAAATTTTTTCTTTCCATATATGGTTTTTTTCTTCTTTTGTGGTGGAGTTGCTTTATCTTGATGTTTTTTTCCCTTCATTCCTTTGTTTCTTTTTTTTTTTTTGAGTCGGAGTCTCACTCTGTCACTCAGACTGGAGTGCAGTGGCTACTCCCGGCCATTGCAGCCTCGACCTGCTGGGCTCCGGCAATTCTTCCACCTCAGCCTTCCAAGTAGCTGGAACTACAGGTGCGCGCTACCACACCCGGCTAATTTTTTGATTTATTGTAGAGATGAGGTCTCGCTGCCCAGGCGGGTCTCGAACCCGCGGGCTCAGGCAATCCACTCACCTCAGCCTCCCAAAGGCGCGGGATGACAGGCTGAGCCACCGAGCCCAGCTGTTCCTTTGTTTCTAATACCAAACTGGACACAGGCTGTATCTTGTACATCTTAGACCCTGCATAAATATGTGTTCAATGACTGAATGAATGAAATATGCCAAAATATGGACATTTGAAAGTAACAATTTTATCATAATATTTAACATTTGTTATTTCTTAATTGATAAGCAAAATGTAATATATTTACTTTTAACATTTTAGATTATATTACTCTTTGAATTTATAGCCCTGGTAGGAAAGACAGATTTCACTTTGATCAGAAAATTAGTTGTGAGGAATATACTTGTTTTAGCAAATTGGAAAGTACTCATGTTAATCATGACTATTACTATTGTTATTTAAAATATATATTTGACTTGACTCTTTACTTTCCTTCCAAAAATATAGACACTAGAGTAATTCATAATTGTATTACTGATTGACTTTAATAACTTTTTTGTTGGGAGGCTAGTGTGTATTACACGTTTTTTAAAAAAATTTGACAGTTTTCATTGGAAAGGATAATACTTTATTTTTTTTACAGGTTTGAGATATTGTCCTTATACTGTAATATGAATTGAATGTTTTCCCCAATGTTTTATTCCGTTAGTGAAGGAGCCCAGGCTCTGAACATGCTTGTGTTACAGTCATGGCTTGCTTTGTGATGCTAAACAAGGTTACTCTTAACCTTTTAAAATCAGATTTCTCTTTCTTAAATGTACTCTAAAGATTTCTGGAGACCACTGGATAAAACGTTAACTATAAAGTGCCAGTACATGATAAGGCAGCCATTAAAGGAAGCCTCATTAAGCGACTTACTATTATGGAAGACTTAAGCTTGGTGTTGCTTGGGGAAACTGGAGGAGCCAGTGTGAAATACATGATTCAGTGTTAACCCATTTGAGAGGCAAAGATCAGGTGGTGTT